AATGACATCATCACTTAATTAAGTGATGTATATTTTATTTAAGTGGTGTAAATTTTAAGAGTCACTTATTTGCATCACCATATTCAGAGTCCTTTATTTTAGTGATGTAAATTTTATTTACATCATTTATAAATGATGCAAATATATAAAATAAATGATGTAAAATAACTTTTTTGTAGTGTAAAAGAGAATCAACAACGTTCAGGACAACATAAAAAAAATGAAAGCCAATAGGCAATGAAAACGCATAGTTTGCTAACCCGTCTGCGAGACGGTTGGCTTTCCTATTTACATTCGAGATACGGACTGTCCAGTCCCTCGATAGAAAGCCATGACACAAACGTACCAAGAACGACAGTGGATGCTTCTCACTCACCCCTGTCTTCAGAAAACCTACCACTAATTGTGAGTCCACCTCCAGTTCTAACTGCGTGATCTTCTTCTCCCAAACTATATACATGCCATAATAGATGCCCCATAGCTCCGCTAGCAGTTCCGTACAACGACCTATATTAAGGGAGAAACCACCATACCATGCAACCACCATTCCCATCCCTCAAGACCCCTCCTGCAGTGGGTAAGCCCAGATTCCCGTATGAGGCACCATCCGTGTTAACTGTTAAGCTTAACCCAGCCATCCGTTGGCATCACCCATCCGACCAATACTTCAACCCGACTCCCTGATGTACTGGTCCCTTTATGCAGCCTATGAGATGACGTTATTTCCTTCGAAGTTTAGACTTTTATTGATAAATAAATCTTAATATTGTAATTTATTGTAAAACTCCGACTTTTTAAAATACAGCGGTATATGAAGAGATTTATAAAGATTCTACTTATATTTTAAAATTATACATACCATATAGTAAACTACCAGAACTTCAGAATTAAGGGTAAATTCAATTCTATTGGTCACTACTTGATTGCTTAGTCACGATTAGATGGGAAATATGGAATTTGGTCACAAGCTTTTGTCACTTCTCGAGAAATGCTTTTGTATACTTTGCAAAAAAAAAAAGAAGTTGCGTATGTATATTCGTCTTTGAATGAGTAAGACAATGAAACTTTGGAAATTTGGCCATTTTGTAGATTATCTTCAATGACGCTTATGAAGATCCTTTAACAAAATAAATCTTCAATGACGCTTGACTATAAAAAATATATAAGAGTAACTATAATAGAATAAAATGAATAATCTTACATAGAATTCATATAATACAACGACATATTGAATTCTTTATTCTACTATGACATAAGAAAAAAAAAGATAAAATAACTAAAACTAGAACTTAAAAATAAATCTTTACAAATTAGTTTAGTTTAATGAATAAAGTAGTTTTAAAATAACATATAGTAAAGAACCACTAAAATATATCGAAGCAATATTTATGAAACAATTACATATATATATATATATATATATATATATATATATATATATATATATATATATATATATTTTGGTCAAATGAAACAATTACATATTTTGCATATAAAATAAACCTAATTTTATAGATGTCAAATTATAACTTTACCATTTTTATTTATTTGATTATTTAAATAATTATGAGAATAATATAAAAATATCGATATATTGTCTTGCGGAATGAATGAAATAATGTGGTAAATATAAAAAATAATAAGTAAAAATAATTTTTATAATTTTAAAGAGTAAACTTTTGCTATTCAGTTTTGATTTGGATTATATGATTTCATGTCTTTTGGTATTCTCTTTTATTATTGATTGCTACTTCCTCTGTATCAAAAAGAATGATTTTGAGGTTTTCTTCTTGTATCAAAATAATAATAATTTACTATAGTATATCTAATGCATTTTTATTTTCAAGATCAATTGATTGGAGTAAGTGGGGGTAAAACACAGTTTGAAATTAACCTTTTAAAAGATATAACACAAAAATAATTAATAAATATACATCATTTATTATTTTCTTAATCTTGGTGAAAATCCTCAAAAATCATTCTATGTAATAAAGAGGGAGTAATAGTTTTGTTAGATTTTGTTGTTGTCGGTTGTATTTTAATAAAAAATTATATTAGGAGTTTTATAGAATTATTTTATTTTACAGGGGATGTGCCTTTAGTCAAGTGGTTAAGTTCATTTGACTCCGTCTTCTCCACCGGAGTTCGACTCCACTAAATCGCGTTACCCCGCGTAGTAGGGATTGGCTATGGATCGGGCCTTGTCGATCCAAAAATATCAAAAAAAATATATTTTATTTTACAATAATTGCAGTGGATAAATTAAGGAACACATCAATTATTTGGAAACTTACTCATAGTCCCAATCAGGCTCAATACGTTTGATAAGATCATCGGTAAAACCGTACCCTAAATTCCTTCATAGAAAACCATTTGTTCTCCTCGCATCACTTGCGGTTACAATCACAGGAAAACATTTTTCTTTAATATAATTATTGGCAAATAAAAGAACAAAGATATAGACAATTCTAGTAATACTTTGATCAGAAAATTAAACATGCATGCATATCTGATATCTCTGTCTCTGAGGAAGATAGTATAATGTTTGACTATAAAACTTGGAATTAGTGTGCCTAAAGGCGGATCTAGATGGATATGCAGAAAACTTAATTTCCGTATACAAATTTAATATCATACATGTTTTTTTCATTTTTTTTTAGAATTTAACGGGGTAATCCCAATATGGTGCCCGCAGTTCGATTTCCGTTGGCCATCGAGGTTTTCATCTGGCCCCCTCGGGCCTCCAGAAAACACACTGAGCGTTGGGCTTGGACGGCCCGACAGGAACCGGCCTCAAGCCTTGGTGCTAGTCGGGTTTCGGTCCGGATACGTGGATTATAAAAAAAAAAAAAAGTAAGACCTTCAAAAGAGAATAAACGTAGAGGATATGACAGAAAATAATATCTTTAATAAAAAAAAAAAAAAATTGCTAACCTTAGGAGTGCGTGTGGGTTAATGCAGCCGATGTTTACGGTGTTGAAAGAGGAACTTGGACCAATAGGCTGATCGAAGTGTGTCAAACCAAAGCTGCACATGTAGCAAGGCAAACGAAAAAGCTGTGATTGAAGCAAGTGAAATAATGAAGGCTAAATTCCACGCGAGTCTCCGGTCATAGATCAAGAATAACGTCGCACAGAAAGCTATGACCATTGCGATAATGGAGACAAACAATGCCAAAAGTCCCAACATTAGCCTTGAGGGTAATGACACAAGAAAATCATCTTCAGCATATCTTGACGTCAAGATTGACAAGAAAATCACTATAGATGTTGAGGAGGAGCATAGCGCGACCGCATCCGATAGGATAAATATATTAAACCATTTCTTTTTTTGGAGGATAGGAAGTCCTGATTCTTCATTGTTCCCTCCTGGTACGGTAAAGGCCGCGGCAAAAACTACCGTTGCTATTAGCGTTGCTACAAGCATACATGATGTTGCAGTATCTTTCATCCATTTCTCTCCTTCTTTCCGTAATTCTTTGTGTCCATTAGTAAAGATGTCTTGCGCTAATTCCCCTTCTTTATTCTTTGATTTGATGTATGAACGAGGAACAATCTTTTTCACAGCCTGAAATACGCAATATAGTATGGTAATTAAAATTGTTAAAGAAAATGATTATTGGTTTCATGTGTTTAATAATTACCTTGAACCAAAGAATCTCTCTTTGCATTTGAAGTGCAGCCCCTGATACAATATGTAGTCGATCATGAGGAGGCAAGCTTGCAACAAGATGCAACAGAGTATTATTTGTGGCTTCTTCTCGATAAGAAGCTATTAAGTCCTTGATTGCTCCGAGTTCATATATGATGTTGAAGATGCTTTCATGACGATTTATAGCAGCAATGTGAAACAAGCTTCGGTTTCTTCTATCGACTTTCCATATCAAATCTGGATACGAACGAATAAGAATGACTAGGAACTCGACATTTCCACATGATGCAGCATCAAAGAGTAGTCTTGTAGGTTTTCTCAATAAATCCGAAACCTCTTCATCAGATTTTTGAATAATCAAGTTCCATATATCCTCCACCAACTTGTGAGCCAAGCTTCTCATTTTAGCTTTATGAAACATCCCTTCAAACACTAAAAGGCCACAAAAAAAAAAAAAAAAAAAAAAAACGGTGTTTAATTTGTACATGGATTTGCAATTAATATATAAGAACTATTTGATTATACATCTTACTTAAATGCCCTAACCACTGAAAGAAATTGAGATTTTTTCTGTGACCGATAGCCAAAGGCTTGCGAGCTAAAAGATGTAACCCGGTTTCCATAGCACGGTTACAAGAAGTAGCTAGTATTTGGTATCTTTCCAACATCCACAAAGCTACATCTGCACAATCAAACTCAAAACTAGCTTCATCATGACACTTGTAACCAAATTTTCATACCTAAACTTGATCATCGCGGAAAAAAGATTGTTTTACCAAAAATGTTGGCATATATGATGGCATGAAAGATATCTACAAGTTGCACATTACTCAAGCTTCTTTAGCAACTTCTTGATCTCGTCGAGGACTGAAGCCGAATCCGCTACGTCTGACATCTTTCCGATTGATATTCTGGAGTAAAAGACTAGAAATCCCCTCCTTCTAGCGCCAAATTGTGGATGTCGGAATCCGCAATACCAGTTTTATGATGTATATTGGATCGTCTAGCCTTGCTAATTCGAACAACAATCGTGATAAGAAAACAAGAGAGTAAAGTGTGTATATCTGTTTATCGATCAAGAAAAATCGTCCCCTTTTTACAATGGTTTTAGTTCTCTATTTATAGTCACGCGATTCAAAACCGAAGTCGTTCATCAAGCCGCAGATCTCGCCTTCATCAATGTTTCCGTTTCAAATCTTCCGAACCTCGCAAATCCCGTATGACCCGCCTTTCATTTAATTCGCGAGATCCCGACGTTTCACTCGAGCTAGGCCGACTTTTACTGGGCCGTTCTTTTTATCTTTTGAAACGGGCTGACGGCCCACTTCGTTTCATTGTCCACCACTTTTCTATGGGCCGGATCCGACTTGCGGAAGATCCGGGTTCATATCTACCATCATTTTTGCTATTTCTTTAATCCCAGAAGCAGCAGCGAAACAAAGAGCCGTGTTGTTACTCTGATTTTTCAGTGCCAAATCATCTCTCTCCATTCTTGTAAGTAAATTCTTTACGAACCTGGTGTGTTTTGCAGCAACAGCAATGTGAAGAGTCGTCTCCCAGTTACGGGTTATCGCTGCTCGGGCAATACCTTCGTGCTGATCGATAATGGGACGAGCCACTTTCCAGTCACCATTCATAGCAGCTTGATACAGAGGAACACATATATTGAGATATTCACTTCTCCGTTCAGCTGTGGAAACAAAAATATAATAAGATCCATACCTAGTTGAATTTAAAACAGGAATATTATGACGTTAGAGATTATAAACCAAACCAGAAAAATACGAAAGATCCCGCTGATCTGGGGGGATATGACCGGGCAACAAAGTGTTTGTCCCTGAGATATCTAGTGTTACACTTAAATCTGGTTGCGATTGATTGTTACTCTCCGCCATAGTATTTGAATCGTTCATAATTTCGTTTCGTTGTTGTCTCCAAGTTGTGAAAGATCAATGAACAAAATAAGAGACTGGGGATCTTACGTTAATTAATAAGCAAACTTAGTGAAGTGGAAAGACAAAATTTCAAAGCCAAGTTGATGAAAAATGTTTCATTAAGTATATAAAAGTTGGTGAACGATCAGTTTTCAAAGAGTCCATGTTTTCGTTTTTAAACATTTTCTTGACGAAAATTGAGATTTCTAGAGGTTGTTTTTTTCTTGCCAACTTCCATCTTATAATATTTTTTTTTAACTGTATAAAACTTGGTTTTCAAATTACTAACCACATGAACATCAAATGTGTCAAATAAAAAAATACTAGATGTTGTCATGTCTTAAATCTAAATTTATTATTCATTAATATATTTAAAAATAAAAATAGAAAAATACTCCCTCCATATCATAAAAAATGATTTTTCAGGTTTTATTTTTGTATCAAAAAGATTGATTTTCTGTAAATTTTAATCAAATAATGTTAATAAAAAATCATTAATTGAGAATTTTAAAATTTGATGAATTACTATTGGTTAATAGCTATGAGAAATAGTTTGGTATGAATAAATTGTGCATTTATAACTAAACATTAAATATTTTTCTTAATTAGTGTGAAAACTCTATAAAATCGATCTTTTTGATACGGAGGGAGTACAAATTTTTATCGAAAAAATAAAATATATATCTATATCTAACAAATAAAAAACTAAGAATAGTAGACGGATACTCAAAGGATCAGGTGCCGGAAAAACGGTCTATTTCTCTCCGAGAAGTATCGCATCATAACAAATAGAGCCCAAACTTTAACTTCGGTCTTAATGTCCATGAAATGAAAGTTCTATTCCTATTTTCCCATGAAATAAAAGTTCATTACCTGAATGTCCCCGATTTAATAGTTCGAGAGCTAAAACCACACTGGGTTTAATCAGCTTACTGTATTCAAAACCGATAAACAAACCAACTAAACCTAATTATAACCAGATTAAACCCGTTGACAACCCGATTTAACCGAATACATTTAATTTAATTAATTGTATAATATTTTTGGGTAATTATTGAATAATTAAGGAAAAAAAAAAACACGATGGCTTTCTTCTTCGTTTCCCTTCGGTGAACGGTGATGTCGATGCCGATGATGATGGCTATAGATCTATTTTGCAGCGGCTTGATGGTTTGTGTTGATTCTTTTCTGGGTTTTGTAATTTGTTTCCCGATTGATTTTAAGATGAGAAATCGAACAAACAGAGAGATAAATCAATAAAACAAATGTAATAATAGAGATGTTGATTTGGGGTAATTAGATTGTTGTATTTGCAATGTTGCAATTGAACGAGTTTATCTTCAATAACAACACAGTGATTAATGGTGTTTGCAAAAACAGAGACGTGGTCACGTGGATAAGGCACTGGAGATTGTTAACGGTGCTTCAATATTTTCAAAAAGATTTAGAATTTGAAGACGAAGAATGAAGAAGAGACGAACAACGTGCTGCAATTTTTTTGTTTTTTTTTGTTTTTTGTTTTTTAATTATTGAAACCTTTTATATCAAAAGAAAGTTTGACATAAGTGGTTTGGTATCGGTTTGATTGGTTTTTTTTTAGATTTAGTTTGTAAACCGATTTAACCGAGATTTATGGGAAAATAGATGAAAACTATGGATTCGGGGAGATATAGGTTGAAAAATATTGTTTCGGAGACATCTAGCATGTAGTCATAGATTGAGCTCTATCTGTTATGATGCGATACTTCTCGTGAGGAAATAGACCGTTTTTCCTCAGGTGCCTTAAAAGTTAAAACCAACTCATGAATCCGGTAAAAGCAGAGGCTACGGCACTACAACTTGCAATTCTTGATCTCTGCAGGCTGGGATGTTATTCTGTGTAGTGACCTAAAATTGATATATCACGCACTTCAGCAGACCACACTACATAACATCTTCCATTGCATTAGTCTATCTTGCTCACATTTAGAGGTGTCAAGCCGGCCGATAGTCCGCGGGCTTTGTCCAAGTAGCCCACAACGGGGCGGGTTTGGACATCATTTTTCATGTCCATAAAATAGCGGACAAGCCCAGGCGGATTGCGGGTTTTGTCTGCGGATTTGCGAGCCGGCCCGCGGACTACAAATATTTAATAAAAATAAATAATTAATATAAATAAATAAATATTTTTACATAATTCTAAAAATATATATGTGAAATATATGAACATATAACAAAATTTAATGTATAAAATTATAAGATTTACAAAAAAATTAATTCTAAAAGTTTTTTTTATTGAAAAATTGTTAATTTCAAATTTTAAAAAGTAATTTTATTTTTTTAATTATTTTTAAAATATTTAAAACTAAGCCCGCGGGCCGGCCCGCTAATCCGTTGGGCTTAGCGGGGCGGGCCTGGACATATTATTTTTGACCGCGGTCCTAGCGGGCCGGCCCGCCGCGATCTCATAAATTTAAATGCCCATCGCGGGCCGGCCCAAATGGACGCGGGCCGGCCCGTTTGACACCTCTACTCACATTGGTGAACATTTTAAACCTTTGTAATTTTAATTTTATGCACACATGTAATCTAGCAAATTAGGTGCATATACAGTAGTATAGCAAAACAAGCGAGATGTGATTCTCAAAAATTTCAATCAATGAAATCTGTTAAGTATTTATTTATAACAATATAATACCTCTTTTTTTACATCCAAAAAGTTATACTCAGTAAAAAAAGCATTTATTTATAACAAAATACTTTTTTTTTTTAACATATTACAATTATTCTCGTACAAAAAAAGAAGTTGTGTCCCGTCTTACCGTAGTAAATGAGTCGCGTTTTATTAATTGCCGGCTTACATAAATACTCAAATGACTCGGACGAACGCCATTGGCCAGGCAACGTGTAAAGCATCCTACGTGGCGTTTACTTCCCAACGAAGTAGCGAGTACAAAAAACCCCATTATTGTACTCGCGCGAGTAGGTCGACGAAATAAATATATCACCTTTTTGACCCCAAAAATTTCTAAATATTTCAAAATCGGCCTCTTCGTTTTCTTTCTCCTCCTTTGTTTATGTCTGTCGATTTAAAGACCCAAATCTGACTTCTCTCTCTCTCTTTTGGTCTCTGCGTTTGATTCGGGAGAAGAAAAATAAAAGCTTCAATGGAGTTAGCGTCTTTTCTTGGTAGAGCTCTGTTTGTTTCCGTCTTTCTTCTCTCCGCATGGCAAGAGTAAGCAATTTCTCTTCTTACTCGTTTTTAGATCTGCTCTTTTGACTATGTATATAGTAGGATCTGCTTTTGTATCTGAGAAAATTCAAAATCTGGGCTCTAGTTCGTGAATCTTGTTGAATCATAGCTTAGTGAGGTTTGAAGAAGAAAAAGAATAGAATGTTAGACAGTGAAAAGAATAAGTATGGATCTTGCTTGCTTTGATGGAGTTGAATTTGAATTTGATAGATTAGATATCTCTGGTTAGATTTTGTTTATGATTGGTCAATAACTCTTCGACATTGCTAGGTTTTCTTCTTTTACTCATCTCTTTCACTAATTTTGGAACTTTGGTTTTCTAAAGGTCTTTCTTTTATTGCTCATTAATTGGGTTGTCCTGAAGTTGCGAAGTTGCGAAGTTAGGTTGGTCTCTTTGGTAGTTGGTGGTTGGTTATTTAAACACATGATTCTAAAGTCTTGGAACCAAGGAAATCTTACTAGGTGCTTTCTTTTGATTGTTGTCATTCCATTGACTCAACGAATGAACTCATGTGGTCAATGTTTGTATAAGGAATTTCATGTTTTAAGTTACACAATTCTTTTGACTTACAAATTTAGCATCTTTATACGATTGATTGAAGTAGAGTTTGGTTGTTCTTTATTAGTGGTGTCAATTAGTACTAACTCTTAAAGAAAGTTATTTCCTTTTTTTCTGTTCCCCTTGACTCTCTCTGCTTGGTTTATATGAGATGCATTGCAATTTGAGTCACTTACAGAGACAATTCACCTCTCTTTTGTTTTTTCCCTCACTGATTGAAAGTTACAATATTTTTGTTGCTTCATTGAGCAGGTTTAATGATTTTGGTGAGGATGGTGGCCGATCAGCTAAATCTTTGAAACCAAAATTCAATGCCTTTGTAAACCATGTGACAACTCATACTGGCCAGCAATTGCCACCAGTCGATGTATGTGCTACTTCATTTCTAAACAGTAACCAAATCGTCTTTTTTTAGTTTTCCTATTTTGTTCACTCTGCTTTGGTTTGCAGATGAAGATTCTTGTTGCTGCTGCCATAGCCTTGAAGGGTATTGGGGGACTGTTGTTCGTCTTTGGCAGCTCCTTGGGAGCTTATCTCTTGGTATGTAGCAACTGTTCCTTTCAAATATATTGTCGCTTATCTGAATGAAGAAAATAACCCTGCTATACTCTATGAAATCTGGTTTCAGCTTCTGCATCAAGCCGTTGCCACCCCAATTCTGTACGATTTCTACAACTACGATGTTGACAGAAAGGAATTTGGCCAACTATTTTCAAAATTTACTCAGGTTAGCAAATCTAATATTGGTTTTTTTTGTTGGTTATCCTTGCCTAGCATTAAGCGAGAATGAAGTCTAAACAAATTCAGTTGTAAAATAATATAAGTAGTGGTTTTACGGGTTGGAATTTGAGTTCCATATTCATTCTTAATCCAGACCTGAGATCTTATATTTTGTGTATTTGAATCTTTCAGAGCTTGGCTCTCCTTGGAGCACTGCTCTTCTTCATTGGGATGAAGAACTCAAGGAAACACGGTAGGCAACTCAGGAAAAAGGCTCCAAAGGCAAAAGCAAACTGAAAAAGCCACATCTTTCATCGGTTTATTCGGTCTGTATTTTATTTTCATTTTGGAATCCAGGATGGGTTTAAAGAGTGTATCCTATGAGGCCATTGAAAGGCAAAATCTACTTCATGAAGCTTTTATGATACTTTTTTTTGTAGAGATATTTATGGTTCTTTAGAGAGACACCATTTCAATTTAGATTTTGCTTTTCTTATTTCATAATGTGACTGATTTATTTCACCATTTCAACCTCATTAAATCCATTTTCACTATACAGTGAATGGTAACAATATTAATTTACATACAGAAGGTAACAAAATCTAGAAGCTCTCGTAGCTCAGTTGGTTAGAGCACCCGTTTAGTAAGCGGGAGGTCTTGAGTTCGACTCTCAACGAGAGCATTTTTTTTGTCTGAGACTTTTCCAACTCAGAGAAGAATCAGATCACACAGTCAAAAGTCTCTATGCATAAATCTACAAGATACAAGAAAAATCACAAGTTTCTGGAGTTATATTTATTTTATATTAAAAATACAACCCAAGATCAAGAGTAAAGCGTTTACACTTGCCAAACGGAAGAATCCTAAACCAAGTGATTCAGAGATCTCTATAAATTCCCTATGGGTACCAAAAAAACAATTGAGAGTTTAAGCAGCAGGAGGCCTGAGTTCTTGGTCACGAGATGTGTCACGAACCGATTGAGGCATATAATGCCACATTGGCATGTAACCGTAACTCGGGTAAACAGCCATTTTGTTGTGGCTAAATGCAGCTGGAATCTGAGGCATGAGCCCTGAAGATGGAACCGTCATAGACTTTAATTGTTGTTCCGTTTTCTCTTTATCCACCTTCAACACCAGCTTTTCCTCCCTCAGCTCGTTCTTCTCTGCCTATAAAGAAACATACAAACTTAGAAATCTGCTCTCCTTCCATAGACCAAGATTCTTAGTTTATGGGAAAGTGAACGAACAACCAACCTTGAGACTCTTGATCTCCTCTAAAAGCTTCTGGTTCGTTTCTTCAAGTTTATGAGCTTCATCTCTAAGTTGATTCAATATACGGATTGCATCATCGAGTATAGCCGGTTTATCTGTCTTTGGAGTCCTCCCAGGCTCCAAAACCGAGCTCAAATCCATGAACCTAACACCACAAAAACATTTTTTTCCTCTTGAGACAACTCACTTCACAAAACAAACACATAGACTAAGCTCTAACCATACCTCTCATTTAGCTTCTCCCTCCTCATTCTTTCACGACACGCTTTGGTTCCTCCACCTCTGCTACACGATCCAGTCCTTGCCCTATCAACAACCATCACAGATTCAATCAAAAACACAACCAACTACCACCAAATCACACAAAGTTTATATTTTTCCAACACTTACCGCTTCCGCGAGCAATCGTCATCTAAATGTTCCTGTTCTTGCTTAACAGCTCCACCAGATGAACCAGAATTGATCTCTACTTCATCTTCCTGCACAATTCCACAATCTTTCTGCCCTACGTGTTCAGGCTCTTGCGACAAAACTCCATTATACGACGACAAATCCAATTGAGCAGCTCCAATACTAAAGACTTCTTCTGGATCCTGCTGCAAATTCACACCATATGACGCAAAATCTGGAAAGGTATCTTCTTGATCAGGCTGCAAATTTACACCAAATTGTGTGTAATCATCAAGTTCTGCTCCATTACTGCAAGAGTCATCATGAACAAAAAGATCCACATCCATCAATTTGGAGTAAATTGATTAACACAACAACAAGATCCATAGAGCTACTTCTTCTCCTATTCAATTTGAGAGCTTTCAATTACATTAGGGTTCGTCAAATTACATCAAAAGACTCAAACTTTTTCACCTGAAATGCGGAAACACAACAACCCTTTTCACAGAAATCGAATTGAACATTAAAGATAGGATTTTGCAATTGGGAAATGGATCAAATTCGATTAAACAACAGAATCGAAACAGATAGAGAGAACAGAGGAAGGAAGAAGGAAGAGAGAGTCGAAAGAAAGAACCTTTGATCGAAGCAAAACAAATCAGAGACGAAATCATCATCGTCGAGAGAAGGATACATTTGAGAGTCTCCTCCAAACAGATTTGAGATTTGTGGAAAGCTTCAACGAAGACGCCAATGTTGGAAAAATATAAACTATAGAGATTATTAAAGCGATCCCATTTAAATTATTCCCAATGACGACAAGGAGATAAGAATGGTGGGAACAATATTCGCCGATTTGATATTAGTGGAAATAAAAAGAGACGATTGTTTTTCACTCAAATTCCTATTCGGGAAAAGACAAATCGCCTTAATAAAACTTTTTTGAAGTATTGAAAGATAGACAACCAAAAAAAACAGAATCATATTTTTTTATGTAATGCATAGATATTGGGGAATTTTATTGCATTTGTATTGTTCTTTTTTGGGTAGTAACTTTTCTCTATCGAGTGGAGTTGGTAAACCAATCCGATGCAAATACGTCTAAAAGAAAAGCAAATCGTTGATACTTTTTTTACGAGTAAGAGGATCAGCTTGAGAACTACACAATCTAGGAATCAAATTTAATGAGAAAAAAAGAAACAAACTTCGCGAAACGCAAGAATTCATATGGTTTTATTGAAATAGTTGTTCGGCCGCCATGTCAATTCGGATTTTGAATCTGCGAGTTGGACATAATCTGCTTCATTATAGGGAGGGTTAAGGTTATACTTTTAGATGTCTAGAAAAGCAGGGCTAGTGAGTTAGTCTATTGCGGATTGCAATCTCAAATTAGTTAACTCGCATAGCCAACGAGTTAACCCACCAACATAATAATATATTGTAATCTATCATAAATTTATTTTACTATGTATAAAAATCAAATGTGAAAAAGTTTTCTACTTCTCAAAATAACTAAACAAGAAAAAGCTGAAATTTCAAAAACATGCAAATCGACAGCAAAATCTACGGTCATAAAATGGATTGGGTTAGTAGTGTTGCTGATCTAGCTCTCCAGTCTTGTGCCAACTCGCCAAAAACACAGAAAATATTTTAATCAACTGGTGGGTTTAGTGAAGCAAAATAATCCGATATGACATTCCTATAGACATGAGTAAGCTGTAAGATTAAGGAAAAAAAAAAAATCCTATACATTAAAAAAAAGAGAGAGAAGGAAATCAAAAGTAAATGAGGGAATAACAAGATGAAAGATTATTGAAGATATGATGAGATTCATATCTTGATAGAGCCCGTCTAATCAAAATCGTATAAGCATGCATCAACATCGACAAAAAGAAGAGTCTACCTATTA